TTCACAGATTCTGCCTTCCGCATTGATTCACATTGGTTACAGTAGGCCGCACACGTCAAGCTGACGAACATTCGCGAACAGGCAACCCCTTTTGTTTACGCTTTCATATGGGGTCGCGGCGCATATCTCCCGAACGTTCGCGAACGAAAGCGAAGACATTGCGAACACTAGCGATAGTTCTATATATGTTACACTACCGTGATGTCGCGCTGCTTTCTGCCAGAACTTCCGGTCCCAGATCGTGGACAGAAATTTAGGAAAGATGTGGAGCAAGCCCTGGCGCCGTTACGAGAAGCTGTTTCGCGTGGAGATTTTGACTCTGCCGGAAATTTGGTTGAGGTGAGTTTTTTGACAACCAAAATATATAAGAAAGCGATGCTTTGTAGGTGGTGAATGACGAGTATAAAATGACCATATCGATGAATGTTGCTCAATTTACTCCAGATCAGTTATCGGTGGATGTAGATGGACGTGTTCTCACGATTGAAGGAAAGCAAGAAAACGAAGAAAGCAACGGATCTTTTATGAGGTGTGTTGATGGCGAAACTGCGTTTTGTTCAGACTAGTCCATTCTTTTCTTCAATGTTCCTTTTTAGAAGCTTTGTTCGACAATGGGCTCTTCCTGATGACATCGATGCAGATCAGCTGAAATGCACAATAACTGAAGATGGACATCTTGCTGTGGAAGCTCCAAAAATTGCAGTGGAGCCAATTTCGAAAAGCGCATAGAGAAGATCTTGATGACTGGATTTAAAACAGGAAGCATTGTTTCTATCTATTTATGTTTCACTCTTCATGTTTTAATTTTGTTTATGTGGGTGTTTATCAATCAGTTATTCGGCATATTATCTTGATGAAGGAACTAGCAATAAAACTACAATAATCTCACAAACTGTTGTTTGTCTATAATTATAAGCTATTAAGAGATTTTATAGTGGAACTGCTTTATTTTTGTGTGTATGCGCACATTTTTCAAGAAGTCACTCGCCACGAAGTTGTGGTTTCCTGTTTTACTTAGCTCTCTTCATTCCCTAAACAGCAGTTCAAATCAGCAGGATGCTGGAGGCAAAGCTTAAATTTCAAGCAAAAATTAGCATTTTGGTTTTGATTTGAATAATTTTTACTCTGAGCATCATAAAGATATTTTTAAACCAAAACTTCATGCTAGAAAACTAAAAGTAAGCTTTACATAACGTCATTTGCTCCTGGTGATTTTGGCTCTTCAAAAGTTCATTTCAAAAAGGAGAAGAATTTGAGATTGAACAAAGGCAAAATTCATACATACCGAATTTTTGCACTTTGAATGTTGAAGAATAACTGTATTCTACTTGAGATGTTGAAAGAGGACAAGTTGTATATTTGCGTCTTAATTTCTCTCAGTCGTCATTTTGCATGCTCTGGAACTTGCTAGAAAAACGGACGGAGTCGGAGTAACCTGATACATTCCCATTTGAAAATCACCAGGATTGATAAGTAAAACGTATGCATCTATAGAGTCTTTTTTCAGAATACTAGCAGATGATAAAGGATAGTCGAAGGTAAAGAGTCATACCCGGATGCTAGGCTACCTGATTTTCGTAAAGATTGTAAGAGTATCTACCGAAAAAAAACAACATTCAAAATATAGTACAGCCGGTTTAACGAAAGGCCTAATCGTATATATTAGGTCGTGTAATAAGCCCTGTCCCATTTTTTGTTTTATTTTTTTTCTTGACAACGTTGACTATGTTTGAGATAAAGTGTATATCTTTTGAAAGCTCTAAGTCTGCTCTGCAGGCTCATATGCATCATTCCCCAACATAGCAAGAAAATGAAAAAGATCTTCATCATTGAAACAAAAATCCAAAGAGCCGAAAAATCAATTTTCAACCTCTTTTTTCCTACAAATTTTTCTCGATTTTTATTGGTAAAACTTATTAAACAAGAACAACAATAAAAACAATCTATTAGATTTTTGCACTTATTCTACTACTGCTTGCTCATGTTCCCTTCCTTCCAACGGCTATTTAATGACATTTTTTCAAAAGTCGGCAAGGCAAGACTTTGTCACGGCGATGTTCGCCGTCTCGCGTACCCAAGCTGTGTGGCTCCCAAAATTCGAATTTTGAGTATTTAACCTATGAATTCGATAACTTTGAAGTCATAAACCATCCCTTCTGTTTTTTCTGGATGATTCGCATACCTTCTTCCCTCAGAATCCTTCAGATGGCCCGACACCAACGTTAAAAGGGCGTTAGAAAGAAGAATTTTTCAAATCTACAGAGATGATTTTTGAAAAGTTTCAGCTTTCTGAAGCGCAATAGAAGCTAGAGCATTCTTTGTTTACGTGTAGCAAAATTCTTCGAGCTTTTTCTTAGGACAGGCTTATTCTGTCTAATTAGGAGGGCGACGTAATGTAGTTGTCGAAAATGGACTTTTTCCCTGTTTGATTTTCCAAATTTGACGTTGTAAAGCTTCTTCAAGTCATCTGATGTAGAAAACCGAGATGAAAGTTTTAGTAGAAAAGGCTTAAGCTTTCAAATGCATACAAACAATCTGCAGAGCATCGCGCAAAATATTGAGAAAAAATTAAAAGAAAAAATGGGACAGAACCTATTACACAACCTAATATTAGCACGTAACGCAAGTTTGGCGACACTTTCATTTTTTCTCGAAAACTCTAGATACTTTGATAAAGTCCAATATTTGGCGCATGTGAGCTTCGGACAAAGGACTGTCTACTGGCATCATTTTCAGCTTTACAGGCATAGGTTACGGTAAATATAAAGGCAATTTTGTGAGGACACTCAAATCTCCATTTTTTCTTTTGCTTCTGAAGATTCCCTCATTCTTAATTTTCCTCTCTCAGATTTTTGTCGGACTCCCGGGGACACTAGTACTATTAGGTTGTCCGGAAATTAATGCAGGTTTTGCAAAATCTCACTTCAAAGTGTCATAACTCCTTCGAAATTGCATGTTTTGAAATGAGGTAAAAACTACTGTGATTAGCAAGTCTTTCTCTATCTAAAGCATGCCCAATTATTTCTGTAGCTCCAGCAAGCAAATTGCTGGAAACCAGAAAGTAAGAAGGTTTTTCTTCAACAAGGCCATATTTGGCAAATTGTAAACTCCTATTGGATATGAGTGTTCAGCGAGAAACTTCTGCAGCTTATAGTCACAGACCAGTACTACATATATAGCTATGCAGAAATTTTTTAAGGAATCCTCTGCAGAAGAAAAAATTACGGAATCAAAATTTTCCTTTTTTTCGATATTTCAATCGCGGAGGCGATCTCCGATAATTTTGATTTTTTTATTAACTCAACAAAAATAAAGCCTGAAAGGTACCAGTTGAAATGATATCTGACAGCACTGGCCTCACTCTTCAAGCACGAGGAGAGACATGCACGGTTGCTTTCTTTAGAAGAGTTTTCTACGCCATGGACTCGCCGCGACAATTATTCATGTTTAAGCGTCAGTTTCTCTACTCTCACAATCGTTCTGAAGAAGCGCTACTATCTGTGTTGTAGGTTCACTCAATGTCTTGCTTCAGCTATATTATCATAGAAATACTCTTCTTACCAAATAAGTTCAAGCCAAAATAGTGCAAAAGGTAAATTTTGTGATCCAAAGCTTCATCTTCGGATGGTTGTAGATTTTGAACAAACGAAGTTGATTGTACAGATGATACATATAAGAGAGAGCATGAAGAGAGGTCTCCCATAGTATGTGAAGTTGGTCGAAATATGCACATATACAGAAGAAGGATCCCTTTGAAAATGCATCTGCAGAAACCTGCATTAATTTCCGGACAACCTAATAATATGAGGGAAGTTTGGAAATCTAGCTGTTCAGTAACGCAAGTTGAAAAACTGCCAAAAATTCAAAAAAATTTGATAAAATTCAAAAAATGGATTTTCCTCGTGTGTATATGTTGAGAAGTTACCGCGCTCCATTCAATTTGGAGATAAGAAAAAGTCTTAGGAGGAAGTCGAGAAGGTTTTTCCTTCAAGTGTAACAAAACTTATGTTACAACCTAAGAGATTCCACTCATAACCGTACTTCTTTGGCGAGTTTTGAAGCAGTAAATCGTAAGAAAATGGAATACATTAAAACCAGTTCCAAAGTTAAAAAGATATCGGCAATCCATAACAGAATAAGTGCTCCGTGATCCTTTGTATCAAGCATTACCTTCCTCATCCCTGTTACTCGCGTATCTGAGTTCAGTAGTCATTCACACGATGATTATGTAGGGAAAAATGGGAGAGCGCGCTGAGATATTCTAATTTGACTCAGATATAAAAAGCCCTTCGATAGGAGTTCCCTTCTGGCGACATTGTATTTAATATTAATGAAGGTCTTGACATTCTGACAAAAAATTCGTTATCATCAAAGTTTATTCATGTGCGGTGATGCAGCGTCTGGGCAGCATATGTCCAGTCAAAGTGAATGTGTTACAAGGGTAAAATAGAAATATTTTCACTTTCTTTCAATCGTGTGGAGCCGTTTGTGTCAGATTCTGGACGATATCGCTCTGAATAGCGCGGAACATTCGTGAAGGGGGTGGGCCGCCATCTGTTTACGTTGCCAGAAGAGCGAGCGAAGGCGCTCCCTTCGCGAAGGTTCGCGAATAATCGCGAGAATATCGCAGCGCTTACATAAAAGTGGTCGGGGGCTGAGGCAAGCAGCAGTACCGATCATGAATTCAACGCTATGTCACTTTGCCTACTTCCATCGCTATCACTGCATCCATTTGGCCTCCAAAGGAAGCGAAGGTTCCTCGACAGCTTCTTTGACGATTTTGATCTCATAGAGCAAGCGCTGAGGCTATCAAAAGCAGCACTGCTTTGACGGCTCTTCCGTAAAATTGATAAGGTAAGTTGCATTAAACACAATTCATTGTGCGCTGGTAAAAAGGGGGTTTTTAGATAGTGAATGACGATTCCAAGTTATCGATTTCCTTAAATGTGAAGCAGTTCAAGCCAGAAGAACTGTCAGTAAATTTGGATGGAAGAACGCTCATGATTGAAGATAAGCAGGAGATCAAGGGAAAAAAGGGCTACACTGTAAGGTATGTGTCCTTTTTATTGTGTTAGCTATGCAGCGTAATTAAAATAGTTCTATTATAGAACTTTTGTGCGACAATGGACGCTTCCCAAAGAAGTCGATGTGGAACAGCTGAAGTCCACCCTCACCGAAGATGGCCACCTTGCAGTTGAAGCACCAAAGATATCGAAAAAGTCACCTACCCCAAGGAGCATCGAGATTCAAAAGGCAGCTCCACCTAAGGAAAATGAAAAGTTGAACGAACACTAATTCTCCACATCTTGGGACTAATAAGCTACATGATCTCATAAGATGTACATATTTGAGTAAATCGCTGTGTTTATATCGTACTGTATGTATAGCGTATAAATAAATGAATTATTAGCACTTGAAGTTGTGTTGCACCATGGAAGTTCGCGTTTGCGAAGTTTTACCTATCACGAATTCGTTATTTTTCCTTAATAATCGAGCATCATGTATCATTTAGCATTCAGTCGAACTGGCTGGCTTACTTTATCTAAGTCGTGGCCCTTACTATTAAATGTGTTTGCTTGAACTCAGTCTGGTAGGAATTGGGCACATGCCATCGTATTACGGAAACATCGGAGAATTTAGAATTGAAGCGACAGCCAAATATATAATTTCTTCAGTTGCACGCTGGTAATGATGGAATTGGCATAAAATCTGGCACCGTCATCAAGTCCTTTTTGTCTTCCTGCATCTTTATTTGTAAGTAGGTAAAGTAGGTAGGGCCCATTCATCTTCGGTGTGAAATTAGACATCATTTGTTGAGAACGTCAAATTTGATGCAATCTACACGAAGCAGTAGTCTATTCCAAGACAGCAACTGGCTTTCAGACGAACCCAGTACTTCAGCCCGATGATGCTGTGCGGATTACCTGGTGCTTTTACCATCAGTTTTTGGCAAAGAAGCTCAATTTCACGTAGAGGCAGCTAGAAGTTCGGTAGTACTTAGTAATGATGCTGATATGTTGTCAATATTTGACGCTGTTCCACTCAAGGATGTATGCGGGTATATTTGCGGAAAAGGTAGCAATCCAACAACTTCAATGCCTAAACTTTTCTTGACTGCTTTAGGCCTATGTACTGACAAGGGAAGCTTGTTTAGTCGAAGTGGCCTTTCTAAATGAAATGTGTACCATATTAAAGGACATCAAGCGCTGATTCCAAATCTGCCTTCCCTATCTGCAGAGCGTTTATGTATGGGAAGTTATGAGCAATTTTCGAAGCCAAAATTGAATGTGCATTTTGGAAAAAAATGAGTTGTTAAAATCTTATCAGCCCTCAAATATTGCAACCAAGTGTGACATATTTTTTATTTGAGAGTATTTTTTGAGTAAAGTGCTCTGATAATTATCAGGACTCCATTAAAAAGCTACAAAGTATTTATGGCTGCATTTGTCCTACTTGCACATTCAGTTTTCTGCCCCAATAAGCGCTCATAACTCTTCGTCCATAAACGCTCTGCAGATAAGGAAGGCAGATTTGGAATTAGCAATTTATGCCCTATAATGTAGTCTACGTCCCATCTAAAAAGGCCACTTCGACTAAACACGCATTCCTTGTGAGTTGCGAAACTGCACTTACATTCGCATCAAGAGCAATAAAACTAATACTGTTTCCTCAGAACAATCCCAGAAATGTCATCAGTTGTTAAATTGCTTTTAAGGGTCCGCATAGTGTTGTGTAACAGTTTCTGCCTTATCTTGCAACATAGCACCACAGTTTTGACGGCCATTAAATTTGCACTGGAGCGAAAACAGTCTATATTGCTCAGAATTCAATTGAAAATTAACAGAAGATGTTGCAGACAGTGAACAAATAGGCTGTAGGTATAAATACCGCACCTAAATCTTTGCATTTAGACACTGCACTTGTATTAGGTTGTTCCAAAAGTAAATGATCTCTAAAAAACCAAGCTGTCTTTGTTTTCCTAGCCGACATGAAAGAGCAAAGCAAGCTCTCCAAAATGTCCCCCAAAGATCTACCTAAGACATAATCCAGGTAAAATTTGGAGTCAAAAATTAAAATTCTTCAACAACTCTAAAAATCGCATTCCCTTTCTTGCCATTTTAAGACTATCTTTTTCCGATTTCTGGCCGCGGAAAAAATGAGCAAATCATATTTTATAATCACTACTTACTATACGATGACTAATTGGGGTCCGTAAGAATTTTCTAGAAGAAAATCTGATTTTTATAGTTGAAAAATTTTGATTTTGGTTCCAAATTCTACTTGAATTATGACTTCAGTCGCCTGTTGTAGGGCGTGCTCTGCTCTATCAAATGGCACCTCAATGCATGCTGCTAAGAAAACATTAGCTTGATTTATTTGGAAAAGGCATTTACTTTTGGAGCAATCAAATATATAGCCTTAGCAGGTTGATAGCATGAGCAAAAAGCTAGTTAAGTGTAAATTGTATGTATTGTTGTTAAGTGCGTAATAAAGGCAGCTCCTGGTAGAATCTCGACTTCTATTTCTTTTTCTTATCCAGACCTTTCCATGGCGCTCAATCCAAATATGGCACTCAAAATGCGTGAACTCCTCGAAAAACCCCATTTTGGAGACAATTTTGTGAGAAGCTTGAACAAGTGCTCCTAATGCTATCCTTGCTGAAAGCAACCATTAACAAGTAGACAGCATGTGCTCCATTGTGTTTACCACGTGAACACTTAAGGGCTGAGAAGAGTTTGTTCAAGAGGCGGGCCGTGCGAGGGAGTGGGTGTGGTCCTCGAGGCTCGGCGTCTGCGCCGATTTCCCCCTTTAACAGGGATGTTCAAAAAGTCGGATTTGCTGATAGTTCCAGATCGAAGTCCTAGTGCTCGACAGTATCCGTCTAGGCAGACGACCGAGCCTCGAAGACCACTTATTTGCGCGGCCAACCCCCTCAAACAAATTCTCCTCAGCTCTTGACGTGTTTTCACATGAAAACAAGTCGAGGATGTACTGCCTTTATCGAATGTACGTGACTCTTCCAGCTTACGCTATTGGATTGATATATTTTTAATATTTGAATGAGTACAGCTGCATATTAAGGAGCGCATGCTTTCACCTGACTTTCAAAATGATAAGAACGTACAAAATGTTAGGGAAACCATCGCCAACACTTCGAAATACTGCATTTGGCTATTCTTACATAAGAAGCTCCCACATATCTTCTTCGATGTGGCAACTCCCTTATCGATGAAAGCGGTATCTGGTTGGACTATTTCTTTCTTTGACTGACCATTGGTGCAACATCCCAGACAAACTTACTAGATGTCAACATTTCAACACGTTTAGGTTTTCCCAAGGAGTGAGCTGACGCTTCCAGCTTGCTGATTATATGGTTTGGGGAGAGAGGTATCAGGAGCTTTTTTTCCGAGAAAGGAAGGCGAGCAGAATTCTTTCCTAAAGGGATGTGTGGAGTTAGCGTTTGAAAGTTCTTCACAAATAAGTTGCAAAATTGCAACCTTGAAATCTCAGTGAGAATCGTGGCATAATCTTCGGAATAAATATCAATGACAATTTCAAGATTTTTCATAAAAATCAGAGACCATTTTTACAAACCAAAACCAGCACTTTTATAATTTTATGAGTGCGGCTCAAAATAATTCGGCTCATGGTCAGGGAGGGAGCCCCCCCCCCTCTTGTGCTATTTTACCTTTCTTATTATTAGAATGCCTCTTGGAAATTATCAACAGAATTGAATATCGACTTGTTAGAGATGGCGGCTGGTTGCCATAATTGAATGAGAATAGTTAACAAAAATTTTATCTAGCGCTTGGCCTCTTATACGCATCACAGAGTACAGAGTAAAGATTAAATTTCCATATTGCCTTCACAATACTTCATGTCACATCTTTGTTCTTTTTCGAGATCTAGTGCGTAATTTCAATTTGCACCGATTAATATGTAAAAGCAGAGAGTGTCCGAAGTAAATTCTCGGAAGTTAGTGAGCTCAAAAATTTGAGCAGGAGCTATTGTTTCAAAGATTTTCTCGCGATTTCAAAACTGCTGCTCTGCTTTGATTCAATTATGAGAGCATGCCACAGGAGCCTAGAATGTTCATGAAATCCGGATAGTTCTTGATTTACGTTTCTAAGTTGTGTAGCTGCCTATATCTCACGGCAGCTCTACAGACTGCCCAAAAATGCAATATGAAGCAAATTATAGGGCTCTGCTTGGTCTCGAGGGTCGGTGAGTTTCCGGCTATTGCACACCTGGGATGCCACAAGGCACAATCAGTTAAACAGACCTGTATTTATCAAAATCGTTTAAGATATGGAAGCTAACACCTGATAGTAGAAAGGCATTTAAAAGGCGAAACATAAGTGAGAAAACTCAGTGAGCGTCTGTGGCTGCAAACTCACGGGCTCTCACGATCACACAGAGCCCTATGCCGTTTTCTTTTCGTTAACGTAGGATTACAGCAGGAACTTCCGCTATTGAGGGTCGTATTTTGATTTTAGGAAAGGTTAAAGAAGCTGGAAACTAATACTAGGTTACAATACGTTATAAAGCCGCTGATCAAATATGAAATTCGTATTCTACCATATTGCTTTACTCATAAGTTATGCTAAAAATATTGTAACAACCGTTCTGTGATAGCATGTACGACTCTCGATAAATCTCGGCATAGTTTATAAGTTGAGATTGATGTCTTGTAGCGTTGGCCAATAAAGTTTGTAACAATCTCGGCGTTGGCTACAAGACATCAATCTCAACGTTTTGTGATAGTTGCCAAAACTTAAATAGCGTCATTTGAAAAACTCCACGAACGCGCAAAAAAATATGTAGTGAAATCAGCATGAACAGAAACCTTGTTAGATAATTTTTCAAATTTTTGTGGAAAATTTTTTTCAACGACCCATCTCACAGTGGCACCATATGCTGCATCTTACCGTAATCCTTCAACTCAGATTTACAGTATGGAGCAAATCACCAGTGAAGATCGATTGGTGATTTGCTCCAGACTGTAAATCTAAACAGGGAACGATACTTGGATACCCCGGCCATGTGGAATGCAATGTACACCGTGATGTACATCTCGAAACGCTGATTCTAAATCTGTGCTTGAAATCTGCGAAACGATCTTATGAAGGTAGTTATGAACTTTTTTCGTAGAAAATCTGCGTACTTTTAGGTAGTTAAAATCACCCAATTTGATCTATTTTACCGTTTGAAGCTATTGGACTTGGTATTTATATCTATCTGAACCATACTCAACATTTGAATAGCATAGAAAAATTTTTATTAATGATTTTCACCTTCCGCAGTAGTGCAATTTATTTTTGAAAAAATAATCATAACTCCATCCAGATTCCCGTTTAGCAGATATGGGAAACGTTATTCGAATCAGCATTGAAAGCCGCATCTTTGATATACAAAACATCATGAATGGCCGGGGTAACCAAGTATTGTTCCCTGTTAGTTGAAGCCAATTTTACCGAGCGGTACCTAAACCTTCTCGAAAAACTCCTTAGTTAGACAGTTATCAAAAACCTTAATCACATTTTTGGGACATCCTATATATTTAAACTCCAGTCATATCGCAAGAGTGTATAGATCAAGGTCCCACTGTTTTGAGCAAGTGATATTCCTCACGCGATTTCAGTCGCCACGCGATCTGGCAATTTGCCAGATAACCCCAAATGCACATCATGTATAACTTTCGTAGGTTGATGAAATGCCCCATTTCCCGTATATTCAGAAACCCCGTATTTGGAGTACTGCCAAATCGCGTCGCGATTGAAATCGCGTGAGGTATGCCCGAGGCCCTAAACTTTGGGTAGGAGATTCTTTAGCATGCTGATTACAAATTTACTGAAGATTTTTCGATAAGGGACCGTATAGCGCTGGTTATAGGTAGGCCACCCAAAGTTTGCAAGTCCTTGACAACCCTAGAAAGTAAGCCAGCGGATCATTTGTTGGCAGCAGTATAGTATGGCCCAACCCATAATTAGATCTTCGTTTCTGGAAAGAGTGTCATTAAATGTGAATGAGCTATAGCAGATCAATACAGTGAGGTCCAAGGATAATTTCCGGGGGGGGGGGGAGAGAGAAGAGACAAAAATTATCAAATAAAGGCATGTAGTGTCAATGTCAACCCATAATCAAAAATCTTTTCTGATGCTTCCCAAATTCGCCGGCTATAATCCTGAAACATTCGGAAAAGCGGCGATCGGTTGCAGCCACACTCCCAAAAAGTCTTTCAGGTTAAATCCAATTCTGGAATTTCAAGGAATATTTCAGTCTCATAAGTGCAGAAATGTCATTGCTGGATGAAATTCATGAAAGTAACCTTCAAGAATTTCGCTATCCATTCTCGAGGGGGTCTCCACTAATCCAATATGGCTTAAACTAGAACATTATGCCTGATTGTTACAGTAGGAAACAGAGATCAGTCAGTTCACATATGCACTCAAAACTACGAAAGACAGAGAATTGCGAGGGTGGGTACTCACTTCTTTACTCGAAATCCGCCCATTTGAATGCTTTTCCTTCCATTTTCCACTCCAAGCGGAAATTAATCGGCTTTGTTCAGATTTATTAGATAACGACAATAAGAACGCAGTCACGTTTTATGCAGGTATGCTGTCATCGTAACACTTTTGCGCACGAGCCATTCAGTTGCAGGAATGTTGGGGCCGTCACATGAAAAATTTAAGTCGTAATTCTATTTTCGCCCTGCGAAAGTTCATGCTTCCGTAAAATATTGATGCTTCCAAAGATTCTTCGGCAATGTAGCGAACTTAACACTACTTCTTGTAACAATTAAAAAATTGCTTACAAGACTTACAGAAGCTGTTCAGAGTGTTTCACATTTCTAGCAATCTATCGTGCTGAAGTGTAGTTGATGTCTGTAAAGATAGACGCTGTAGATACGGTACTTTTAGATATTTCTGCGAAAGGAGTAGTTGAGACAGAAAAAAGTAAAGTAGGAAAAAACCATTGGTTTTACCAATACGCCAGCCGACAACCATCTGTTCAACTAGTCACCGAGTGAAAAATTTTTAGTGGTATCTAGCCAATTAGCAAATTTTATTTTTGCGTTCTATTCTTGCTGGAACTTTGCCTCGAATTTGCATCTTTGAGAAAGTGGAAATGGTAGAAGTTCCTTGCATAACCTCATATTAATACATTAATTGATTTTTAACATTTCATACTTTTAAAGCATGATTAAAAAGAAATATAGCTGCGTTTTAGGAAAAGTTGCTCGTTTGATTTTGCTGTACTCAAGATTCTAAATGCAAATTATTTATTAAATCAAGTGGATGAGACATGCACACCTCAATACATCTAGGTATATACGTACGCGTAAGTTTGGTAACAAATAAGTGCAAAAAAAGAAAAGTAGTGACAAGGTATGCAAATGAGAGAGATTATTGCTGATGATTTTCGTTTCCCTTTACGGCAGCGGACACCTTTTCTATCCGGATGCTCCTTGTGGTTGGCGATTTCTTCGTGATTTTGGGTGCTTCTAGTGCAAGGTGACCATCTTCAGTCAGGGAGGATTTAAGTTGGTCAACATCGACATCATCAGGAAGCATCCATTGTCGAACGAAGGTTCTAAAATTTAATATATAAGATTCTACGAAGCCACAAATATGCAAACAAAGTTTGACCTACCTCATAGAGTAATCGTTTTCTTCTTTGATTTCCTGTTTGCCTTGCACCTTGAGGATTCTTCCATCCAAATCGACTGATAACTCTTCTGGTTTGAAGTTTGCGACATTCAAAGAGATAGCGAGCTTGGAATCGTTATCAGTAACCTGAAAATGAGCTTTTTTGATTCTGCAAGAATACTGGGAAAAATCTATAAGCTTACCTTTGCCAATTTTCCAGCAGACTCCTCTCGTTGCTGTGAAACAGCTGTCAGCATTGGTACTATTGAAGATTCGATACGGTCGATGTCTTGAAGAATACTGTCAAGAAGGCCTTGACGAGCGAATCGTGGTTGTGGTGGAAGGAAGTAGAGAGCCATAGCGTTGAGAGCACAGAACAACTAGACTGGTGCTGAACTCAGCCGCCGATGTCTTTATATAGCGAGCGCGGCCTCTTCTGCGAAGGTTCGCGAGATTTCGCGAATATTCGCGGCGCTCCACTATCTTTAGCGTAAACAATAGCGTGCCCGCCCCAATTCGCGAACGTTCTGCGGGGAAGGAATCGCAGATAGACTCTTGGCACCCATTCTGTTTTCCAGAACGTAATGATATTAAACGTTTCATTCGACTAAATTCTTCTGGCGTAAATTAGAAAGTCAAAAAGTAGGTAAATAGAAAGGCAAGTAGTTGGAGCAGTACATTAAATAATTGTTGATGATTTAGGCATTTGGATATCTGCGATCCTCCTTATCGAGTATCTTTAGCACAGGCTAGACCTTCAACAAGATGACCAACGAGTCTCAGAAAAAGAACTTTTGCACCTTCTAACTTTCGTATACATAAAGATTATAGGTGGCTTGGCGCTTCTGCACGTAAATTCTCTTACAAGAACGTTAAAAGCTCTCGATTATCATCGTAGTGGTCTCAGTAAGCAATGCATGGTCGTTTATAAGAAAAGCGAGTAATCTCAATCCAGGCAGGAGGAATGCCCAAGCCCGTTTTATCAACAGCATTTCTAGGCAAAATTCACCGATAAATAAGCGCACTGATGAATATTAATAGCCTTGATTTAGTAGGAGGAATTTGAAATATCAATAATTTTTCGAACGATATTTAGCTATACTGTGGCAAAATATTTGAATCTAGGTATGTAGTTTACACAAGTTATTGCAATTACTTGTTTTACATGTAAATAGATGAAATGGCTATAAACCTGGAATTTCAAATTTAATCTCGGTTAAACTAGTTAAATTATCACAACACGTACCCATTCGAAACTGCAGGGGTGTGAACTCGCAAGAGATTTAACATCCCGAAGAAATTATCGCAGTTTACTAAAAAGATTCCTCTCCCCCCCCCCCTCGATCTCAGACCATTTGCTGCATTTTTTTTCGAAATTATCCATTCAAACTGCAGCGTTCTGAATCCGCAAGAGATTCAGAAGCATCCCAAAAAATTGTCGCAGTTTCTTCAAAAAAAAAAACTTCTTCCTTCCTCCCCCCCCCCCCCTCCCCGATCTCACAAATCTGTCCTTTGGTGTAATTTTTCATATTTGTTGATTATGCCATCAATCAAATTGATATAAGAGATTGTGTATCTTCGAATCAACTAAATCTATTCGCTATGTTTCCTTTATTCAATTACTACAGACAGTCTCTGATGCAGTCTGAGCCAGCGAGCACGATATCTCCGAATTTCGCGAAAGAGGAGGGCATGTGTTGTTTACGAGAGTGTTGCAGGGCGCCTCCGTCGCGAACATTCGCGAATAAGCGCGGTCTGGCCAGCGATCCCTATTTAAGAGTGGTCGTATACCCAAGCAGCAACTCGTACTGTTCGTGAATCCGCTATGTCGCTCTCGCTCTGGCAAGTTCCACGCATGATGAATCGTCTCATGGACGATTACATCCACGAGATGGATCGCAGTGTATTCCCATACTGGAGGAATGCTGACCATTCCATGCCCCATGTTGGCAATGACACGCAACAGGTACGTTTCGTGGTTTCTCAAATTAATTTTCAAAAATTGAATGGGACTGGTTTAGGTTATCGACGACGACAAGAAATTTGCGGTTTCACTCGATGTCTCACAGTTTCGTCCCGAAGACTTGAAGGTGCACATCGATGGCAGAGAACTTACTGTAGAAGGGGAGCAGGAGCACAAATGTAAAAACAGCTTTATTCACAGGTAAGGAAACATTTATGTTTTCTTTTTCTATTGAAGTCCGATTCCTCGTTATAGATCGTTCATCCGCAAGTTGACGCTTCCAGAAAACGTAGATCTGGAATCCGTGCGTACGCAGCTCAGCGATAAGGGACACCTATGCGTTGAAGCTCCCAAGGCAGATCCGGAAAGACCAAATAGGAGAAACATTCCAATTATGGCTGCTCCATCGAAGAACTATATGTGCTCTAGTTAAGGCTTTGCAATGGCTAATCTAATCGCTTAGTATGTGCAATATTTAACTTCTGAATATGTAGTGGAACCTTCTGGTAGTGATCTGATTTTTTCAAATTTCGTTTTCTTCTCGTACACGGTTCACCAAAAGCGTTCCAATCTTTCAGGTATCTAATTTATTTGATTACCTCAATGTTTGGAAAATTTTATCTTTGTGTATATTGGCTCAGGATCGTTCAGTGTTTGTACATATTCCTTTTGTATTTGTAAATAAACATCTACTGGTATATCTGGTTTTACATTCAGTATCAGTGAAAAACATACGTCGCAAACTAGAAACAAGGAGGAGAGAAGCTTAGAGAATAGAATCTGTGTTGTGAAGCGGTGGCATTTTCGAGTTTGGGCGGAAATGACTTCTCAGTGGAAAGGGAGCAGATTTTTAGTTGTACAAAACAAGTTTTCTATTTATGCGGCACATTTCTGTCCGACAGTGGGATACCGAAGGGGGAAGAGGGGCGCTCCCACCCCGAGAATGGGTCGCGATATTTTCGATAGTTACTCAAATGTTTTTTAGAAATGTGCAAGCGAATTGGTTTTACTCGTGAATAATTAAATTAACTTCTAAAAACTTTTAAAAATTCAAATTAGCCTTGTAAAAAAATTCGATTTCTAAAATGTTGAGGTCGGGGGCGCAAAGATTTTGGAAAGCATCCCAGAAATTTTTTCGGATTGCGTGGCTAATGCCAAGCACCCTCATCCGAAAAAAATTTTTGTCCTCCCCCACCCCACCCCCCTTCCCTGCTGTCCGACTATACGATGTTTTTGTTCAAAGCATATAACACGGTGCTCATCTAGAAGCTAGCAAGACGAGGTAAGCTTGAGGTTCTCCCTCAATGGCTTTGTCACTAACTGCATCTTTACCTCTTTACCTGAGTTAACCGAAATGTTTCTCAGACAATCCTCAAAATAGTTCCGGGGAAAAGTTTTAAAACTTCCCATGGTACACTCCTATTGGAGCTGCCAGATAGGGCGCAGTCAGGCTGGGCGGGGTCCACCCACAGCCCAATAGGTGCGTCCGCCCCGAAAGTTATAGAAGTTCAGTTTTTCCCGGACGTATTTTGCGGATTGCCTGAGACCCTAACTGGTTTGTCGTAGGTCTGATTTTATCGCGTACTGCTGCTTTCTTTTCTCAGCGTGTTTCCCAATTACAGCTATTACATTTCCTGTTTCATGTGTTCGCTTTAAGTCCCTGGTGAGCCGTAAGTCGCGCCAGGGCCTAAAGCGCTAATACAAGGTGCGGGTGGCGTCTCGTTGGTAGCGTAGCTCATTTGCTTTAAATTACTGCAATGGATTGCTGTCTAACAATTTTGCCGTTGAGCATTTCCTTAGAAGCATTTGGCAAGATTAGCTTTGGAAGGCAACACTCATGGGCCCGATTTGCCTATTTCTCAAACAAGTGCCCGCTAGTTCATGATGTTACAGCAAAAGTAAACAAGGTTATGAACACCGCTAAAGTTCTGCATAGCTGTTTAAATCATTGTAGGTTGCCGACTTTAGCTCGTCTGCATCAAAGGCTCAAAAACGTGATCCTTGAATTGTTTGTGAATCTGTAATCAAAAAAAAAACCTACACCTGGTTTCCTACGCGAAAACCGTGCAATTTTCAACGTTAACGTAACTGAAAACTTCAACTCCAATGTCTGCTCGTAACCTACTAGACCGATCATCAACCTAGAGTAGGATTTGCGCGAAAATGTTGAATATCTCACAAAGTCTTATGAGCTATTCCTTTTACCAATGTCATTGCCCAGCTGTCTAAAAGTTAATCTTACTAAATTTTGCCTAATCAAAGGTGGAAGCTACTTGTCAACAAGGTGGAACAATCGCGAGGTTTACTGAGGAAGTGACCTGTCCATTCAACGCTCCTAGCTTACAATATCGGGAGTCATAAATATCAGCGAGTCATAGATGGAAGTGTTTCGAGATCTAATGCTCAGAGGACATGATAACCTTTTTCTTATTTGTTCTAGCTCATCGAATGCAGTTTTTATTGAGTTTGCAAAAATATTGTCCGTTTTTAGGACAATTTCCGAAAGCATTTTTCTGATAAACTTTCTTTTTTGATATAGGTATTGGATAAAACGTGGAAAGTTTTTTCAATGATACTTTCAACTTGTAGTTTTCAAAAGTGATGCAATTGGGCTTCTGTCCTCATCTAAGTGAATTGCACCAAAGTTTTGCAAACTCGCACTCAGAATCGAGTTATCATAGCCTTCGCATTCATTGGCCACTATTCAGGCCAATGAACGAATTATTTTGAGAACATAGCTATTGTGTGGGATATATTGTTTACTTTTTGCATGCTTGAGTTAATCTTTTGAGAATATTTGGACTGAGAAATCGACCCAGCAAAGTGGGTACTCGCTGCTGCATTCTATGGATCGAAAGTTTTCATAAATACGGCAATCTCGAAAGCTTCGCTCATTTCTGTACGTTTGAGAAGACATCCTGCTTACAGTTTTCGCAGAAAAACTTAGCCATTGTTTCATGAAGAATTCCAAGTTATCACGAATTAGGACTTTCAGCCTACCACAAATAGGCTCAGGGAAGTGAACAATTTTGGCCTTTTATCTTTTCTTTCGGAAAACTCCTTCTTTGAATTCTTTTCTATATACGCATATACTACTGGTCTGATAACCGAACTTGAAAAGAGTAGTCATCTCTCAAAAACGATTTTTAGAAGAGGAACTTTCGGCTTTTTGACTCGTGGTTTCCTTCCCGGTTGCGATGCGAGCTGCTTACTGCTTCTGATGGTCTTGACTATATTCAAAAATCTGAAGACTAGACAAAGTTACAGCTGTCCGTCTCTGTAAAGTTAAACTTTGAAGAGGCGGACATCATTTTTTGCACCAACTTGATATTGTGATTTTGAGTGAATCCTTCCACTAAATATTGCAGTAAAAGCTCAGAAGGACTTTTTGGCATTGACTATGGATATCTGTGCGGGGTCATTGCTCTACGAGATTACCATGGTGTTCACAGATTCTTAGCTTCTGCCTTGATTTATTGGCTACAGTATGTCGCGCACATCGAGCCGAACGAACATTCGCGAACGGGCGGGTCACACCCCTCCCCCATTCTGTTTACGCTTTCATATGGGGTCATATCTCCCGAACATTCGCGAACGAAAGCGATAGAGCGGGCGATCTCGCTAAATAGACGAAGCAAAGATCGCGAACACTAGCGATAGTTCTATGTCACACCACCCTCATGTCGCGTTGCTTTCTGCCAGAAGTTCCGGTCCCAGATCGTGGGCAGAGTTTTAGGAACGATGTGGAGCAAGCTCTGGCGCCGTTACGAGAAGCTGTTTCACGCGGAAATTTTGACTCTGCCGGGAATTTGGTTGAGGTGAGTTTTTTGACAACCAAAATAGATGAAAAAAGATGCTTTGTAGGTGGTGAATGACGAGTATAAAATGGCCATATCGATGAATGTTGCTCAATTTACTCCAGATCAGTTATCGGTGGATGTAGATGGACGTGTGCTCACCATCGAAGGCAAGCAAGAAAACGAAGAAAGCAATGGATTTTTATGAGGTACTTTAATGGCAAAATTGTCGTTTGTTCAGACTAGTCCATTCACTTCTTCATAGTTCATTTTTAGAAGCTTTATGCGACAATGGACCCTTCCTGATGATGTCGATGCAGATCAGCTGAAATGCACAATAACTAAAGATGGACATCTTGCTGTGGAAGCTCCAAAAATTGCAGTGGAGCCAATTTCGAAAAGCGCATAGACAAGATCTTGATGATTGGATTTAAAACTGCATTGTTTCTACCTATTTATGTTTCACTCTTCATGTTTTGATTTTGATTATGTGGGTGCTTATCAAACAGTTATTCGGCATATGTATCTTGATGAAGAGCTAGCAATGAAACTATAATAATCTCGCAGACAGTTGCTTGTCCATGATAAAAAGCTATGAAGAGATTTCTTAGTGAAATTGCTTTACTTTTTGTGTGTGCAACTACACATTTTCCAGGAAGTCTCTCGCCACGAAGTTGTGTTTTCCCTGTCCCTTCACTTGGCTCTTTTCATTCCCTAAAACAGCAGCTCAAATCACAGGATGCTGGAGGCAAAGCCTACGTTTCAAGCAAATAGCATTTTGTTTTGAAATTGAATGATTTTTAGTCTGAGCATCATTAAGATTTTTCAAACCAAAACCTCATGCTAGAAAACTAAAAGTAAGCTTTGTATGACGTAATTTGCTCCTATTATATGTGGTTTTGGCTCTTCGAAAAATTTCAAAAAGGAGAAGACTTTGAGATTGAACTAAGGCAAGAATCAAACATACCAAGTTTTTGCAGTTTGAACGTTGACAGAATATCTGTATTCTAGAATACTTGAGATGTGAAAGAGAACAAGTTGTATCTGCTTCTTAATTTCTCTCAGTCGTTATTTTGAAGCTTTGAAACTTGCTAAAAAACGGACGGAATCGGAATAACCTGATACATTTCCATTTATCGAGAGGTAACATATAGACATCTACAGAGTCTATTTCTAGAATATTACCAGCAGATGATAAAGGATAGTCGAAAGTCAACAGACATATTTGAATGCTAAGCTACTTGAGAATTTGTTTTTCGTAAAGATTGTAAGTAGTATTGAATGAAAAAATAACAACATTGGAAACAACATGTTTAACGAAAGTATAGTTGTATATAATTTCCATTTATAACCATAATTCTTTGTCGACTGTTGAAGCATAAGATTGTGAGCGACGAATACATTAAAAATCTGTCACAAAGATAAAATGATATTGGTAACCCATAACAAAACAAATAAGTGCTCCGTAATCCTCGGGATCAAGCCATTAGCAGGGCTTGGCACGAGGTGGCTTTTGGAAAATGCAAAAAACGGGTCCCCCTTGACTTTTTCAAAATTTTGCGAAGTCCCTTTGACCCTAAGCCATAATCCTAAAATTCCTCCAAAAAACGAAAAGTCGACCAAAAAAAACGTCGCAAACTTTGTGTCTTAACGGCCACAAAACGAAACCCCCTTCACTTTTTGTCCCAAAAACGATATCCATCTTGCTTACCAAGCCACTTGTGCCGAACCCTAGCCATTATCTTTCCCATCCCTGTTACTATGCGTGCTTGAATTCATCAGACATACACGATGATTATGTAAGGGAAAGTGGGAGAGAGCGAGATATTTGAACTTGACTCAGATATAAAAACGCTTCGATAGGAGCTCTCCTTCTGGCGACATTGTATCTAATATCAATAAAGGACTTGGCAGTTTTGACAAAAAAGTTTGTTATCATTAAAGTTTATGCATGTGCGGTGATGCAGCGTCTTGCATATGTCCAATCAAAGTGTGTGGATCACACTGGTAAAATAAAAATATTTTCATTCTGTTTTAAACGTGTGGAGCCATTTGTGCCAGATGCGGAACCGCATCGCTTCGAATAGCGCGGAACATTCGCGAAGGGGGCGGGGCCGCCGTCTGTTTACGTCACCAGAAGAGCGAGCGAAGGCGCAGTCTTCGGGAATGTTCGCAAATATTCGCGAGAATATCGCGGCGCTTACATAAAAGCGGTCGGGAACTGAGGCGAGCAGCAGTAACGATCTTGATTTCATCGCTATGTCACTTTGCCTGCTTCCATCGCTATCGTTGGACCCATTCGGCATCTGAAGGAAACGGATGTTCCTCGACAGCTTTTTTGACGATTTTGATCGCATGGAGCAAGCTTGAGGCCATCAAAAGCAGCATTGCTTAGAAAGGATGGCTAAGGTAAGTTGCATTAAACACAGCTTATTCTGTGTCTATAAAAAAGCGTTTTTAGATAGTAAATGACGACTCCAAGCTATCGATTTCCTTAAATGTGAAGCAGTTCAAGCCGGAGGAACTGTCAGTAAATCTGGATGGAAGAACACTCAAGATTGAAGGCAAGCAGGAGATCAAGGAAGAGAATGCCTACACCGTGAGGTATGTCTCCTTTTTGATTTGTTAGCTATAAAGCATAATAGAATCATTCTGTTTTAGAACGTTTGTTCGACAATGGAGGCTCCCTAAAAAAGTCGATGTGGAACAGCTGAAATCCACCCTCACCGAAGATGGCCACCTTGCAGTTGATGCACCAAAAATATCGAAAAAGACATCTACCCCAAGGAGCATCGAGATTCAAAAGACAGCTCCACCTAAGGAAAATGAAAAGTTGAACGAACACTAATTCTCCACATCTTGGGACTAATAAGCTACATGATCTCATATGATGTACATATTTAAGTAAATCGCTGTTTTTTATATTGTACTGTATAGCGTATAAATAAATGAATTATTAGCACTTGAAGTTGTGTTGCACCATGGAAGTTCGCGTTTGCGAAAGTTTTACATAGCACGAATTCATTATTTTATCTTAAATAATCGAGCATCAAGTACCATTTAGCATTCAGTCGAATTGGCTGACTAACTTTATCTAACAATAAGTCGTGGCCCTTAATATCAAATGTGTTTGCTTGAACTCAGTCTGGTGGGAATTGGGCACATGCCATCGTATTATGGAAGCATCTGAATATTAAGAATTGAAGCGACAGTATATATAACTTCTTCAGCTGCTGCAGAACTGGCATGGAATATGGCATCGCAGTAGCGAATCTTTTTGCCTTTCGCCTCCTTATTTGTAAGTAGACGGTGCCCACTTCTCGGTGTGATAATTAGACATCAGTTGATGAGAGCATCCAATTTGATAAAATAACGACAGTAGTCTTTTCCAAGACAGCAGTTGGCTTTCAGATGAACCCCTCAACTTAGCCCCTATAATGTATGTCATGAAAACGTTGGGAGCACAGGAGCTTATTTTGAAAGGACCCGGTACATTTACCATCAGTTTCAGCAAAAAAACTCAATCTCACGCAGAGGCAACTGGAAGTTTCGTAGGACTTAGTAATGCTAATATGTTGTCAATATTTGACGCTGTTCCACTCAAGGATGTAGACGCTATACTATTAGTTTAGATTAGCCACAACTATGTACATATTTGCAGGACATTAGCAATCCAATGATTTCAATGCCTAAACTTTTTTTTGACTGTCATAGGCCTACTGAGTTGCAAAAATGCCACTTGCATTTGCATCAAGAGCAATAAAACTAGTACTATTTCCTCAGAGCAATTCCAGACCTATTACCAGTTGTTAGATTGCTTTTGAGGATCCGCATAGTGTTGTGTAACAGTTTCTGCCTTATCTTCGAACATAGCACCAGGTTGACGGCCATTAAATTTGCAGTGGAGCGAAAACAGTCTATGTTGCTCAGTATTCTACTAAAATCACTGAAGATGTTGTATTCAGTGAACAAATAGGCTGTACGTACAAACGCCGTGGCGTTCTCATACATTTGGACACTGCAGTTCTATTAGGTTGTCCCCGAAAATGATGATCTTTTAAGAAAATCAACTGTCTTTGTTTTCTTCACCGACTTGGGCTAGGAAAACAAAGTCATTTTTTGAAGTAAATTAACCTTTTCAAAAATGACACCAAAGATTCACCTAATTCATAATCCAGTTAGGATTTGGAGTCAAAAATTTAAATTATTCAACAGTACTAAAAATCGCACTTCCTTTTCCGCCACTATTAGACTATCTTTTTTTCGATTTCTGGCGCGGAAGTAATCAGCAAATGCATTCTTTATAATCACTATTTACTATATGATGACTATTTGAGGGTCCGTAAGAATTTTCTAGAAGAAGATCTAATTTTTATAGTTGAAAAATTTTGATTTTGGCTCCAAATTCCACCTGAATTATGACTCAAGTGGATCTTCAGTCGTCTGTTGTAGAGCTTGCTCTGCTCTAGCAAATGGTGCTCTAAAGTAAGTCTGCTAGGAAAACAAAATTAGCTTGATTTATTCGGAAAAGGCGTTTACTTTTGGGGCAACCATACATATATAGCCTTAACTGGCTGATAGCATGAGCAAAAAACTTGTCAATGTACATTAAAAGCAGGGTCCAGGCAGAATCTTGTCTATTTCTTTTCCTTATCCAGGCCTCTTCATGGCGCTGATTCAAAATATGGCACTCAAAATGCGTGAATTGCTCAAAAAACCCCATTTCTGAGACAATTTTGTGAGAAGCTTGAATAAGTGCTCCTAATGCTATCCTTGTCGAAAGCAAGCACTTACAAGTAGACAGTATCTGTTCGAATGTGTTTACCACGTGACAATACGTTCATGGGGGGGGGGGCCGTGCGAGGGAGTGGGCGTGGTCCACGAGGCGCCGATTTTCTCTTTTTATAAGGATTTTCTACGGCGATTTTCTCCTTTTGCAGGTGTGCTCAAAAATCGTATTTGCGCGATAGCTCCTGATGTCCTAGTATTCGAATATGTTAGCATCCAAGAATGTCCAATACCCATACGCTGCCTTCAAGGCATCGTTCAGACCCCGCCGATACCTGTCCAAATCCGGGTGAACCCTTCCGTACCCGCCTTGACCCCTGGAATCTGCCAAACAAGGAAAGCCATGGCTGGAAATTGGCACTTCAAAGCATGCGTGGAATACTGCGCGCACTGTGTGTACATATCGGTCGCAAGTATCGACGGCATATCAACTTATGTACTTTCCCTCATTTGGCAGGTTTCGGCGGACCCAGGCGGATTGGCCTTGTACCGGCCCTGTCTGCGATGCCCAAGCTAAAGGAAATATGTGGAGAATACAATGGTAAACTGGGTTATTTTTTCTAAGGATTGAGAGGTCCTGGATATTCAAGACTTTGCTTCTGTAATACGAAAGAGATAGATGTATGACATCATACTATTTATTGTCAGATAAAAACATTAGCAGACCACCCAATTTTTCCTGTTGTTATTTGTTCTGAAATTAGTTGCGATGGGTCAGATAACCAGTCATGAAACGACTTTCCACACTGTTACCCAATCAAAGTATGTAAATCTCCTCTATCAATATGGAGAGGAGCACAAAAAATTGTAGAAGGCCAAGAAGGGATTTCTATAGTGGGAAGCTCTTTATTGCTTTCATTGCCGTATAAGCAGGGTTTGATTCTGCTCTTCTCTCTGTGCGTAGAATGACGTAGGATAACCTACGTAGGATAACCTTCAAAAATTGATGCTCGTGCTAAACGAGCATCAATTTTTGAAGGTTTCACTCAAGTTCTCAGCACAATCTCTGTTTAGTAATGTGACAAAACTACGTATGTAAAGAAGCATAAGAAAATCACGATTTCTTTCAGAGACAAACAATTTACACTTCACAAGAATTTATTATAAATCACACTATTTTACAAAGTGGTATAGTTGTTACATTCCTCACAAACAGTTAGAAAACAGCCTTTTGTTAAAGCTGTCAAAATCGTACCAACAATACCAGCATAGAACGGGAAAAGACTTTGTAGATTGATGATCAAATAACACGAGCATGAACACACAGACAGATTTATGTACATTTATGCCCTAGTTCTTGGATAGGGCACAATTGGAATGTTCCTTCTATCAGGTCTTTTCGGATCCTCCTTAGACACTTCAATGCAGAGATAGCCTTTGTGGTTGAGTTGTGTGCGCACAGATTTTAAGTCACTCTCCGGAAGCGTCCATTTGCGGATAAACGATCTGTAATTTGGGAATTTAGTTACAGTTTTCTTACGAGTAAGCCAGTGTGGTACCTGTGGATAAGGTTATTTTCAATCTTATGTTCCTGCTTTCCTTCAACAGTTAGCTCTCTACCATCCAAATGAACGCTCAGCTCTTCTGGGCGAAATTTTGAGACATCTACAATACCACTCGTAATTTGTGAAAAAAAAATGGCGGCGGCACTTAACTCACGCGGCGCCGCCGCAGTTAGGTGACAAACGCCGCGTCGCGCGACAAAAGTCGGCGGAAAAGCGGCATTTGCCGCCTAACTTTGCCGCGCAACGCCTAACTTACTTATAAAAAAGACCTTATCTTGATCCAAAATTTATGAATTCTATATATAAGAGTACCATTCAACTCAGCTCGGCGAGGTGCATCTTCCAGTATACAGATGTGCTTAGTTATGGGATGTAAGTTTTTTTCCTGGGATTTCAGTGTAAATGGATCATTCAGTGTGCTGATTCCAGAGGCTACATACACATTCTGTTATGCACTGCAGAAATAGGGCAGGTAGAGTTTAAGAGCTCATTCTGCATGGATATGTGTGAAACTGGGCTTTTCTCGGCAAAGTATGACGGGTCCCAAAATGCAGGAAGACAAAGGGAAATGGTTGGAAATCGCATGAGAAGCACATATCGCGGAATGCCGTGCGTGCTGTGCAATGTACAATACCACTCACAGAACGGGAAATTCGCAAAACAAAATTGCGATTCCGGAATATCGCAGAATATGCAGCGCCATAACTTCCTTCGGAATAAATATATTCTGAATCCGAAAGCAGCATTGTGTTCAGCTCGTCAAGGCGAATCTTTCGACATACGTCATGTCTCTATATCTTGTTTCCAGTTTTCTCAAATTGTTCTGAGGAGGTCCCTTTGCAAGTATGTAACGCAGCGCCTATTCAACACGAAAGCTTCCAGTAAGCAACATTCGATAGTGCTCTTCTTGTACATTATAGTGCGCTAGAAAGCTGTCGCAGACTTCTTTTCAAAAGAGAAAAAAGCGTTGGTAAATTCTGGAAAAATCACTCGTTTCCAGATTCTACTCTCCGTAACTTTCTTTGGAGTAAATATTTTCTGAATCCGAAAAACGCATTGTGCTCAGCTCATCAAGCCAAATCGTTCGGTATACAGAATGCCCTTGATTTCTCGATTCCAGTATTCTCAAAACTTTCTGCGGGCGTCTATTCGCAAAGGTGTAAAGCAGCGCGTATTGCCCCCAGTAGATTCAGAAAGAAATTTTCGATAGTCCTTTTTCTGTAGATTATGGGGCGCTAGAAATTAGCCGCACACTTCTTTCTAAAGGAGTTAGAAGGGCTGGTGAATTTTGGAAAAATCTGTCCTTCTAAATTTTTCTCAAAGTAACTCTAAAATAGGAAGCTCTCTTGCTAAGCAGATGTGATTTTCGTAAACAGCAGGTCAAATAACCCTTATGAGCAAGTTTTTCGAGATGTTCGGGTTATTTCATTTTTTCTCGTCTTACGCTCTGAAGCTGGCCGATGAATTTTGGTCAAAATGTTCATGCTCTTAAATTGTAAGGATTTTAAGGTTTTCGAACACGCTATTTACGAAAATCAAGGTCTTTGAGAATTAAAGGGTCTTTTTGGTGAGATACGGTGAGGTGACTGTAAGTGCATCACGAAAGTGCGTAACTTTGCCCGCACTTCTCGCGTATCTGTCAGCAACCTTGCCTGCTTGCTTTTCTAAATCAAAGTTACTAAAAACTGTGCTACCGAATGGTGCATGACCCAGGCTCCAGTCTATAAAATTTGCTGAGTTATGAGCTTACCAAAACACATCCTCATGAATTTTGCCCAAAATTTAAAGATCGCAAATTTCGTCGAAATTCCACCGTGAGCGCTTGTACAACACGCTGATCAAAATCTTTTCACGTCCTTAATGGATCTTATTGTGTTAGATTTCTAGTTTGAGTTCTAGCCACCGAAATAGCTTTGATATTCAACTGAGCAGCTGAGGCATACGCAAGTACCATATTCAATACAGTGGGAGCCTTTGGGCGAAGCGAACGCAATATCCGCAATGCGAGTGTCATTCAAGCACTCACGGTGGAATTTCGACGAAATATGCGATCTTTACATTTTGAGCAAAATTCATGAGGATGTGTTTTTGTAAGCTCATAACTCAGCAAATTTTATAGACTGGAGCCTGAGTCATGCACCATTCGGTAGCACAGTACCTAGTAGCTTTGACTGGGAAAAGCAAGCAGGCAAGGTTGTTGACAGATACGCGAGAAGTGCGGGCAAATTTACGCACTTTCGTGATGCAGTTACAGTCACCTCACCGTATCTCACCAAAAAAGACCCTGTAATCCTCAAAAACCACGATTTTCGTAAAGAGCGTGCTCGAAAACCTCTATAAGCGAGGTTTCCTTACAATTTAAGAGCATGAACATTTTGACCAAAATTCATCGGCCAGCTTCAGAGCGTAAGACGAGAAAAAATGAAATTACTCGAACATCTTGGAAAACTTGCTCGTAAGGGTTATCCGATTTGCTGGTTACGAAAATCACATCTGCTTAGCAAGAGAGCTTCATATTTTAGAGTTACGTTGAGAAAAATTTGGAACGATATGATTTTTCCAAAATTCACCAGCCCTTCTAACTCCTTTGGAAAGAAGTGTGCGGCTAATTTCTAGCGCCCCATAATCTACAGAAGAAGGACTATCGAAAATTTCTTTCTGAATCTACTGGGGGCAATACGCGCTGCTTTACACCTTTGCGAATAGACGCCCGCAGAAAGTTTTGAGAATACTGGAATCGAGAAATCAAGGGCATTCTGTATACCGAACGATTTGCCTTGATGAGCTGAGCACAATGCGTTTTTCGGATTCAGAAAATATTTACTCCAAAGAAAGTTACGGAGAGTAGAATCTGGAAACGAGTGATTTTTCCAGAATTTACCAACGCTTTTTTCTCTTTTGAAAAGAAGTCTGCGACAGCTTTCTAGCGCACTATAATGTACAAGAAGAGCACTATCGAATGTTGCTTACTGGAAGCTTTCATGTTGAATAGGCGCTGCGTTACATACTTGCAAAGGGACCTCCTCAGAACAATTTGAGAAAACTGGAAACAAGATATAGAGACATGACGTATGTCGAAAGATTCGCCTTGACGAGCTGAACACAATGCTGCTTTCGGATTCAGAATATATTTATTCCGAAGGAAGTTATGGCGCTGCATATTCTGCGATATTCCGGAATCGCAATTTTGTTTTGCGAATTTCCCGTTCTGTGAGTGGTATTGTACATTGCACAGCACGCACGGCATTCCGCGATATGTGCTTCTCATGCGATTTCCAACCATTTCCCTTTGTCTTCCTGCATTTTGGGACCCGTCATACTTCGCCGAGAAAAGCCCAGTTTCACACATATCCATGCAGAATGAGCTCTTAAACTCTACCTGCCCTATTTCTGCAGTGCATAACAGAATGTGTATGTAGCCTCTGGAATCAGCACACTTTTTTAATAAAGTTAGGCGGCAAATGCCGCTTTTCCGCCGACTTCTGTCGCGCGACGCGGCGTTTGTCACCTAACTGCGGCGGCGCCGCGTGAGTTAAGTGCCTCCGCCATTTTTTTTTCACAAATTACGGGTGGTAGTGTAGTGATACAGGAAATCTCTTGTCATCGTCTATCACCTGAATGTAGTATATTAGCTTTAACACCAAAAAATAAACGAAGTAAACCTACCTGCATCTCTTTACCCACATGCAAAGTAGAGTGATCAGCACCTTTCCAATAAGGATGTACGTTGCGTTTCACCGTAGTTCTGTAACCGTCCATTAGACGATCCATCATGGGAGGAACTTGCCAGACTGAAAGCGACATGCTGGGGTATTCACAAAGTAACCTGTTGTCTATAATCTGCTCTACCCTTATATAGCTACCCCACGCCAAGCTTGTCACAAAGAACATTCGCGAACGGGGGCCGGCACGCTTGTTTACGCCGCAAGCGGCGTAAACAAGCGTGCCGGCCCCCGTTCGCGAATGTTCTTTGTGACAAGCTGGCGTGGGGTAGCTAATAAGGCAGTGATGAGTGGCAAATATTTCCTTTTAGGAACTTCAGATAAAAGATTTGTAGTTTTATCTGGTATCTTCTCTTACCTATACGTAAAGAAAGCGGATTGTATGCCATGAAAATGTTGCAACATTAACAGAAGAGCTGCTAGTTAAATCAAGAAAGTGCACTTATGAAAGCAAACAATAAAAAGAATGGCTAACGCATAACTTTGATAAATTCCAGAACTAATTTATCAGGTCGTACAATTTTTCTGACTGATTTCTCACCCTAATAAGTCAGTTTTTCAATATTTCAATTAGTTTTCAGAATACCATTCGAGAGAGCAAAGCAAGCTTTACAGAGCGTCATTTACTTCGAAGCCAAATTCTGAACAGTGCTTGATGCCAAAAATTTGAAGAAATTCGTATCTGCTTTCTTGCGGATCTCTCACTTGTTCACAACACTCCAAATCAGAGATTTATGAATACACCTGTTGTATTTCCTGATACCTGGCTTCTAAGAAGAATAATGATCGCTAATTTCGCTTTGCCTATTGTTGTTTCTCAAAATAAATTGCAGCCGTAAATTTGCCCCCTCATAGGTTCCTTAGTTCTTGAAAAACGCCAGTTGCAGGTTTAAATACGACAAAAAAAAAATTATGGGGCACCTGCTAGTATGCATCGTGGTTTTTTCGGCATTTTCCCAGTGCTTTCCGTGTGGAGCTGGGACACTTGGAATGCACCCTCATCGACGGTACTATACTTTGAACCATACAGAGGGAAATACTGATTCTATCATTAAAGGAGATAATACTGTAGAAAAAACCGGCGTGATAGACGCAAGACGAATCTTTTCCATCCTCAATGTAGCTTTTGAATATCTGTGGAACAAATTATTATGGATCGACAGACATGGAAGCACAACCTAAAAAGATTGACTCCGCCTTAATAGATAGCTGGCTCGTTTATGATTATAACCCATTCAAATTTGATGCACAAAACAAGTGCCAATGTTTTGAAAACCGACTTCAGCTTGCCAACACTGACAGAAGCACCTATGGGATGAACAATCAGCCTGCGACTCTTGAGCTTGTTGTTATGAATCGAATCTAAAAGTATGCTCCTGACTAAAGATTCGAGGATTGCAAGACAATTATGCAGTGAGTTACTTTTAGGCAAAGATATGATGGGTACTGTTTGATCTGTAAAAAGAGCAAATGTGCTTCCAGCAAGAGTGCGGGTGACTGTTTCATCCTGCACAAATTAGATGGTATCTGCACTGTATGAACCGCTATGGACCTGGGTACAGCCTACGACAAAAGGCGAAAACTAGATTAGATATATGATCAAAAAAACGTCGTAATGACCAACGTTTTTGGAGATCACAAACTTCTCTCGGCAGCCAAATTAGGTTACCGAACGGGGGGGGGGATGTAGAGGCAATTATCAAGGGCGAATGAAAGTGAAAGATGGAGGGGGAGAGGACAGAGAGCAGAACCAATAATCGGCTGCATATTCTAGGAAAACCGCGTTGAAATGAAGCGCTTTGCAGCGCAGGCTAGAAGACAAATACAAAGCGACATTTCATGTAAATAAAAGAGGAAGAAAAATGGTTTGGAGTCAGTAATAAAAACGATGTCTCTAGTCCAAATTGATTTTGAAAAAAATGCGTTTGCTAAGTACTACGTAGGCTAGGTGCTACGTGCTACTAATGGTAATGGTACTTGGTACATAGTCGAATTGTCAGATTGAGTAGATCGGGATTTTAGTGTTGGCGGGAAAAAAGCCCGCCTTGACCCCTTCGGCAGGATATAAATACCGGGAGTCAGGGGGAGGCCTCAGACCGTGCTGAAGAAGCGCTAGCGGGAGCTAACTCCGTCGAAGAGAGGCGGAACCTGCCGAAGTGGTCAAGAGGGTAAAGCCCGTCGTTTCGTTGTTGAGCCTTGTTCGAGTTACGCATTATTGTTTCTTGTTGTTCGTTGCCTTTTATCTGAGATAAACTGTTAGTCGTTCAATCCGTGTTGTCTATCGATCCGGTTAAAACCGTTATACCACTAGACACCCCCGGTTACATGAGGGCCGAGCATACCTGGATCGATTGAAAGACACACGGGCGACTGATATCGACTTTCTCAGAGGCAAGACAACATAGAACGTGCGTAGAACAGGCCAAGAAGGCGAAACCAAAAGACCAAAAAGGTGGGAAACTATACGTCATCGAACAGGTGACGTACGTAACAGGCCAAGAAGGCCAGATCTAGGATCAACTGAAGAAAAATCCGTAGCATATCATACAATATCGATATCATATTGTATCATACAGATCGATCCTCATACAATCTTTATTGATTGCTGTTGCCTCGTATTCCCGTTATCGTGCGATTTCGTGCGTGATTTCGTTTTGAGTAGAGATTTTGTGAAGAGGCAATCTTATTCCTTTCAGATAGTATCGAGCATACTAGCCTAGTTAAGGGAAATGGAGCAATCAGAAGCCCAGGCTGGAGACAGTCAGGTAAGACTCACAAATAAGGGGAGTATTAAAGAAAAGATAGGCTTCATAATGAAGGAATTGGGGCTGCTGCCGGGCGTAGTCAGCAGGCACTTGAACGAAAGTAGGGCCGCGCTAAAATATTGGGCGCCTTTGGAGGAAGAGTTGAACATTAGAGTAGACACAATGCTGTATTGTTTGGAAAGCCTGGCAGCAGACATAAAAGGGGGGGCTTACTAATAAGACAGATGTAATAGAAGACACATCAAGTGAGCAGCTAAGGTCAGAGCCATTTCAGGCCAGGGCCTACCAGCCACATGCTCAAGACCGCTCGTCAGAAGAGAAGGACACCTTACAAGAGGACACCGAGATGATGCAAGGTGAGCACCTCAGGCCCTCTGATCCAAGGAGCGGCAGTGAATACTGTGTTCAGACCTGGAGTATGAAGAGGCCGTGGAGCGAACAAAGATTCGAGACTAGACAGACGTCCGGAGAGCACTGGAGGCAATTGGCGCCGCACAACAGCAGAGCACCCCAGCCCAATCAAGGTACGGATCAGTTAGTAGATTACTTCCAAAGCATGACATTCGCTGATCCAGGGGTCTATAGGGGGCATGAAAATGAAAATTTTGATAGGTTTATCAGAAGATTCACTAGAAAATACGGGTCAATAGTTAGGGATGAAAGGATGCTAATAGAGCTCCTGGGGGATGAACACTTGGAAGGAAGGGCGAGGTCCCTATTCCTGAGTATACCCATGGCGGTAAAACGCCAGGGATTCGACAGGGTAGTGAGGGAAATGGCCTCACTACTAGCCTGTGACTCCACAGCAGCTAGGTTAAAGGCGCTGACAGCCTTAAGGAACATGCGCTTAAGGCCAGGCCAAGAGGTCGCAGACTTCTGTGTCGCCCTCGAAAACCTAGCAAGGAAGGCCAATCCTCAATGTACCATTGAGGAAAGATCGATGGAGTATGCGCAGATTCTATTAGAGAATCTGACATCGTGAACGGAATACGTACAGCTGGTGGGGACCCTACACCAGGTGGACCCAGCTAAGGCATACAACAGAATAAAGGAAGTTGCGATTGAGATCGAGCAATCGCGAAGGCTCTGCAAATTCGAAAGGAGAGGTGCACAAGCTTCGCCGTGGAGGAAACAAAGCAAAAATGAAGTATGTCCCGACAAAAGCGCAGCATCGAAACAGCTTAGCGGAAAGGGGCGAAAGGCAAGATGCTGTGAGGAGACAGGACCCAACGAACAGCCCAGATGTCAATAGTGAGGATCGATCGAATGAAGGGAAAAGATGCTTCAATTGTGGCCACTTCGGACATGTCATTAGAGACTGCAAATATAGGAAGACGGAGAACGAAAGCGCTACCAAGGCTTCGAATGGAGTAACATCCATGCTAAACAGGAACCGTAACATGGTCGTAAAAACCTCTCAAGTTGAGGCAAACGGAGTTGTCGGTAGAAGGACCTTGACTCGAGCGAAGATGCTGGGAAGATAGGTGTCAGCACTCATTGACACGGGGTCAATGATTAGTATTCTTTCCATGAGGGTGCTTATAGAAGCGAGGGACAATGGCTACGACGTTGAGTCACTTCAGACATTTGATGTCTTGGAAGGAAGCATATATGATGCATCAAATCATGTGATGAACTTTCTAGGAGGGGTAAAGGCAGAAGTGGAACTGGAAGGAGGGTGCAAAAAGGAAGTAGCCTTCCATGTTTCGGACGATGAAGACAAGGAAGTACTTATCGGCACAAATGCATTGAAGGATCTAGGAGTGGAAGTAGTGGTACACCAAAACACTGACGTCAAGGCAAAAGTGATGGAAAGAGTGATGATTCCTCCGTGAAAAACAAGACAGTGATCAAGCTGAAATCGGGGACGAAGGCAAAACAGAAAGAGTTCTTTGGCCTTCAAGAGAGGAAGTGTCAAGTGGAATATTTTCCATAACGAAGGAGGAAGCAAAGGTGCCAGTACTGAATACGGGTACGGAGCCAATGGTACTCCACCGAGACGAAGAAGTAGGCACATGGGGGACGAATAAGTAGTACAACTCCATGGAAGACACAGGTATCATGATGTTAGACAGTAATGAGGAAGAGCGACAAGGAAGTGATAGGCAGATGATGCTGCAGGGCCAGATAAAAGAAAATAGGGAGTCCCCTGAAGGACTACTCAGAGTGCTTTGCAGTGGATGAGAAGGGGCTTACCCAAACAGATCTAGTCAAGATGAGTATCAACACAGGGAATCATGAACCAGTGAAGATGAAGGCCAGGCCAGTGCCTCTAGGCATCAGGTCGAAACTCAAAAAGATGTTGCAAGATCTGGAGAGAAGATCCAACATCGAAAAAAGTTCGTCAGAGTGGGCATTTCCCATAGTACTGGTAGAAAAGAAGGACGGGTCATTAAGACTGTGCGTTGACTATAGGGAGCTCAATAAGCGGATCAAGTTGGACTCATACCCATTACCGACTATAGATGCCATACTGCAAAATATGGCAGGAAAGAAATTCTTTTCCACTCTGGACATGTGCAGTGGCTATCGGCAGATACCAATCGCAGGGGACTCAAAGGAGAAGTCGGCCTTCACGACACCGGAAGACTTATACCATTTTGGAGTGGTACCTTTTGGGCTGAGCACAAGCCCAGCAGTATTCCAAAGGCTGATGGATGCTGTACTTGGAGATTTTCTAGGGGTAAATGTCTTTTGCTATATCGATGACATGATGATTTGCACACGCACTAGAGAGGAACATATAAAATTGCTTCGCGAAGTCTGTAAAAGGATGAAGACAGCGGGTTTGAAGCTGAAAGCAAAGAAGTGCTTTCTATTACAGTCAGCCGTTTCGTTTTTGGGACATAAGATAGACAGTGAAGGGGTGCATACAGACCCTGAAAAGGTGGAAGTAATTCGGCAGTATCCAGCACCTAAGAATGAGAAGCAACTACGGAGATTCCTAGGAATGGCATCTTTTTACCGGAAGTTTTGCTTAGGGTTTTCCAAGCAATCGAGCTGTCTGTTTCGCTTGACGTCCACTTCGACACCATGGTCATGGGGAACGACAGAACAAGAAGCTTTTGAGAAAGTTAAAACGATGATATCCAAAGCGCCGGTACTAGCACAACCAGACATTGCTAAGGCTAGGTCAGGCGAGAAACCCTTCATCATATGCACAGATGCCTCCACCACAGGAATTGGGGAAGTGCTCACACAGAAAGGAGAAGACAATGAGATGCATCCCATCTATTTCGCATCGAAGGCTTTGAGTAGAGCCGAGCGAAACTACCATGTCACCGATTTGGAGGCACTAGCAGTCGTGTTCGTGGTGGGGAAATTCCACTTCTTTATATACGGGTTACCGACAGTGATATATACCAACCACCTCCCACTAACTGCACTTTTCAAACGGACAAATGTGTCAGCTCGGGTCCTAAGATGGTTCATTAGAGCTGCAGAGATACAATCTTAATATACAATACGTGAAGGGAAAAGCAAACATCGTAGCCGATGCTCTAAGCAGAGAAGGCGCATGGAAGGAGGATGTTGCACTAGAAGGATGTGAAGAAGCTGTGGTGAACACAGTGACGATGGAGGATGAGTCTAAGTGGATGGAAGAGTTGAAGGAGGACGAAGAATGGAGCTCAGTGATCGATATGTTGAGAGAAGGGAAATTAGTAGAATATGTCAGGATTACTGGGATGTCACAACCGGTGTGTATAGCGGATTTTGCTATACGGGAAGGAGAATTAACGATGTTCACAAAAGAAGGGAAGCAAGTATACGTAGTGCCTAAAAGTTTTCGGAAAGAAGTGTTCCAAGAAGCCCACGAAGGAGCGTTGACAGGACACTTCGGAGCCCAGAAGATAGTCAACCAGCTTAAAAGAAGAGTTTTCTGGCCAGGGATGGCAAAAGATATAAAAAGTGGACAAAGGAATGTCAGAAATGTTTCGTGGAAAACGCCAGTGGAAAGGCTGTACCGCCACTGAAACCGATAGTCACTACGAAACCGTACGAGATCATTGGAGTGGATATACTGGAGCTAGGGCCAACAACAATCGGAAATAGATATGCCGTTACTGTCATTGACCATTTCTCCAAATATGCAGCAGCTTATCCAGTCCCGGATAAGAAAGCTGACACGATCGCAAAAGTGATTTTCGGAAGGTGAATAGCGGATGGATGCCGCTGGCCGAAATCAATTCTGTCTGATCGCGGAGGCGAGTTTGAGAACAAAGTTATGGATGAGATAGCAAAAATTACTGGATTGAAGCAGCTCTTCACCAAGGGTTATAACCCGAGGGAAAATGGAATCACGGAGAGGCTGAATGGTACCATAGTTACCATGTTGCGGAAGGCTACAAACGTGCCCACGGAATGGAATGTAAGGTTGCCATTTTGCATGATGGCGTACAACATGATTACGCACAACTCCACGGGAGAGAGTCCGTATTTTATACTGCACGGGACGGATCCGATCTTCCCGTCAAACATTATTCCGCCGGAAACCAGTAGGTATGAAGAAAGCAGTAGCGAACAGTATAAGACAGGATTGTTGCAAGCTACAGAGGTTCAGCAGCGGGTAAGATCCTACAGTGATCGCACGCGAACTAAAATGGAAATCGCGTAAAACAAGCGAAATGCAGTGGGAAAAGCTAAATACCCAAGAGTAAGGCGATCGGGTGTACATGAAATGCCCGGCAGAGAGGGGAAAAACTACGCTTCCTAAGTTAACTTGCGAATGGGCAGGGCCCTTCAGAGTATTAGAGACTAGTGAAAATTCTGCTGTGATAACTAGAATCGGGGAAAATGCAGACCCCTTAAGGGTACAGTTTGACATGTTGAGGGTAGTACCATTAGAAATTCCAGACGACCGTATTGACACAGTAACCTCTAGAGGGAAAAGAGGGAGACCAAAGATTAAGATTACTTGTTCTAAAACATCTTTATGTTTCAGAGACGCATACATCAACGAGGAGGCACAACCAGGCCACCTACTCTACGAGTGCTTAGATGGTTGCTTGATGAAGTCACAGCTGAACGAGATAAGCGGAGTGAAGTTCCCCGGCGCTTTTGGAAGAGAACCTGCGGCACAGTATGGAAGGCGTGGACGGCAGTGAGCATATTCGGACGTAGTGATTTGGACCTAGGAGAGAAGATAAGACTTTACCGGGAAGGAGCAATCTGCCTAGATGCGAAGTCTTTAGAGAAGGCTCTATTGCTTGCCTTTGACAAGTGTACCACATGGACGGAATTCATTTGTAGCAAAAGCGGAATCAAGAAGCATGCACCCGTAAGAAGCTATGATGTTCAGAAGATGTATGACGACGCGCTGAAAGCGGTGAAGTTGGAGATGTCGTTGACGGAAAAGAGTCAAAGACCAAGGAATGAAGGCCCAGTGGCGTTTCTGGCGCCCAAGTGCGCAGCAGCACTGGAAAGGGATGGAATGAGATGTGGTGTAATGACCAAAGTAATCGTACAGTATAGTCAACTGAAGGAGGAGCTTGAGAAATTGAAGAATTTTCGCGTATGGATTATTGTCTGGCCAATAGACACCAGAAGAGAAGACGAGGCCATCACTGGAGCAGTCGTGGCGTGCAAGAAGTATCTAGAGGAGGGCGGTCTCATAGTATCGGTTTGGCCACCGGTAGTAAGCAATAATGCCCATATTTGGAAAGTTATGACGGAACTTTGGACGCTCCTAGACTCCACATTGAAGACATACGCTGGGCCAGACCAGCTCATAACTTTAGCGACAGCGAAAATTGAAGACGGAAAAATATTTATGGAAGCAGGCTCACCAGAATGCAGTTTTCAGTTTTATTCGACTTATCGTGGAGTGGCTTATGCGCGCTATTTGTACGGCATCATCAGGAGGAGAGCCCCGGGAGCAGAACAGGAACTGTCGCCACCGCCGCCGAGGACGCCGGCTCCCGGAGGGGAGGAGTGTCAGATCGAGTAGATCGGGATTTTAGTGTTGGCGGGAAAAAAGCCCGCCTTGACCCCTTCGGCAGGATATAAATACCGGGAGTCAGGGGGAGGCCTCAGACCGCGCTGAAGAAGCTCTAGCGGGAGCTAACTCCGTCGAAGAGAGGCGGATCTCCCCCTTAGATAGAGGGTAACCAGTAAACCGTCAAGAGGGTAAAGCCCGTCGTTTCGTTGTTGAGCCTTGTTCGAGTTACGCATTATTGTTTCTTGTTGTTCGTTGCCTTTTATCTGAGATAAATTGTTAGTCGTTCAATCCGTGTTGTCTATCGATCCGGTTAAAACCGTTATACCACTAGACAACCCCGGTTAAAGAATGCATTTCTTTGCTACATAGCATGAACGGAGAGCTTTCGGGATACTGAAGAGAAAGCACGAGAAGTGGAGCTTGAGTCGTTTATTTCTGTTTATAGAATTTTATTGTAGCAGAGGACCCGAAAATTACATGTAAGAGTTGGTTCGCGCATTTCTTCCTTTCTCATCTCTTCATTTTACCTCATAAAGTGCTGGTATATATTAGGGTACCGTTCAAAAAGTCATTGAATTTTGACATAACTACATAGGCACGGGGCATCTGAGAAGTCGTGACGATGGCGCGACCGCGCGCTACACGCACGCCACTTCCGGAAATCGCATTTTCTTGGTTTTCATCTCTAGTCGAATGGTTATTTTTGCTTACGTATGTTAGTATTTAGACAACGGAAGTGAGTGAGCTGAACTTTAAGATGGTGCCTTCTTGTATGAGCGTTCGTGCTCTTGTGCGCGCAAAGTCCGCAGTCACATCCGTCGTCACGATTTTCTAAATTAACTATACCATGAGAAACGTGGACATTCTCAAGAGCTGAAAATCGGGTCTTATGATTTTCTAAGATTGGTGAGCTTTTATGAAGCGTGAAATGTTTCTAACAGCAACGTTATGCCAGTAAAATTTATGAGAGCTAGAAAGATGTAGTAAACAAAATCAAAGCAATTAGTTTCAATCAAGTTTGTGGTGAAATGACACTCTTTATTTGCCAATTAAATAAATTCTAAGGGCTTCCGGTGGCGTTTCCCTATGATTCAATGCAAAGTTCAAATGTTGAAGCGGAGGTGAAGAGGAGCGAAAAATCCACATTTTGCAGGGAGAGGGAAAAGAATAGAAAAATCCGTGTTTTGCAAAGGACTACATTTTGAATGACAATGAACATCATTGATAGTCTTTACTTCTAGCGTGGATGCATGTAGATGACGTAAGCATAGCACGTTGATGCTTGAAAAAGGACTACTAGTGGAAGCTTACGCAGATTTGCTCTGAGTATTTAAAGCGAAAATGAGAATGATTAAACAAAAATGAGGCAATTTTACATACTCCTTGTTGTAAGTTTCGATTTTAGTCCTATTTTTCATCTGGTAAAACTTCTCAAAATCTCAAATTCAAGGTTCTGACTGCAGTGTCCTCTTATAATCAACTAGCTGAATACAAGTGCAAGTCGAAGCTTTACGCACAAGGAGAAATTAAATTGTCACTGTTCAACTTCCGAATGAGGAAATTGCTGCAAAAATATTTAGGCAAACTGGTAATACTTTGTTGTTGTAGGATTTTACTTTATTTTTTATCATATATAAATGACAGATTTTTATTGCAGCGCTCGAATTTTTTATTTAGTTTTGCTAGAGATAACTTTTTGAGTTTGAGCACATTTTGAAATCCAAAAATTATTCTTTGCAGGAGTACACATGCAATATGGCTGAGCTGGCGATGATATATCTGATGCAAGGTTCAACTATGGACTCTGACCGCATGCCTGCTCTTGTACTCACTGTCCAAACGTAATTTTATTCCCTCTTTTTCAAGAAAGTGTTGGAAAACGTCAGCATTACAGAGGCATGAAACAGACCACGCCAACTTCACTTGCGGACTTAGTGGTGAATGAAAATCGAAAGATCATCATTCAGGTAAACCAATTTTGATATTTCAGCAAGAGTCTTGGAATTAAATTCCTAAGTAATCTTTGCTAAAGAAACCTGTAGCTATTGCTCTTTCTAAATTTATGACGTCTATCTAAAGCTAGATTATTGACATGATCATAGTCATCATTATGTCCCATTTTTCCATACTGTAAAGGCTCTAGATCCACATACTTTCGACCGGAACTTCCGCAGCATTTTCGCAGGGACTGGCGGGGCCCTGCAAATGTGTTGCGGAACTCTCTTGCAGTTAAGCGCTGTGGAAATGCTGCAAAGATGGGGGATTCTGGCAAAATTTTCTTTCTGATTTTGCAGAAAGTTGCACTTTGCGATTTTCGCTTTTTCGATTCCCGATCCACTCACCATACAATTTCATCTTAAGATACTGAATTTGCGCTTTCGATTCAGCCATTTTTTCCACTTAATACGTTATCTTAAGGTGCTAACTTGAGACGCAGACAGCGAGATAATTTTATAAGGAAGAAAATGGCACAGTATGTTTTATTTCATAGGCGAATATGGGTAGCGAAAATTTAAGTAAGGAATCAGAGAAATGATGAACACAAATTAGGGGATACTCAGCGATATAAGAGAAGGCAGTAGGTGATAACCACAATCTTGAATGATCGTTCAAAGCTTGACAAAACGCGGTGAAATATTTTTCTCTAAAAGTTAAGTTTGTAAGAAGCTACATACGATTGCGATACAGCTTTCATGGTCCCTTTTTGTCATAGCATCAAAATATAGACTTCCTACGATTTAGCAAGCTCTAAGTACCAAAACTGGGAGATTTTTCCGCTCATTTACGAGAAGTTGAGAAAACAAGTGAAAAGCTAGTATTGTATCCGAATGTAAAAAATCTAAATTGTGTTGTATTGGCGCATGTTACAGCTTTATTCGGTATAGGTCAGGAAGAGTCCTATTCAAATTGAAAGCAGAGTGCAGATATTGAACCAGTAGCCTAAAACGGAAACAGCTGATTTGGAGGAAGGGAATGAATGATAATAGTAAAATTAGTTCCCACTTCCATCCTGGTCTCTTATCTAATAACTAATCCTAAATCACAGATCCCAGATGCCACATCTTCTCCAGCATAACGCTTTGCAAGCTAATCTCACTACAAAATCCTGCAATGTGCAACACTTCCAACGAATCTTGACATTTGTATGATTTTTCGCTTTTTCAGGAACGAAAACGACTATTGCGGATGAGATATTTTGGATGCGGATTCCTTCGCAAAACCTATACCGCTCAAGTCTTGTGTTTCTTCACTACGCACAATCCCAATAGTAACAACTTTTGAAGGAGAACCACATAGTATTTTGTAGTTGTTGATTATTTTTTTCATGCTTCTGTAGATTATTTCTTGTCATTCCTTAGAATTTTAAGAAACGCAATAGGCATGCAATGCCATATATGCACAAATATGTGTAATCAAGAGAGAATAAGCATGTTGAGAACTTTGAAGAAGACTGATTTCAAGTAGATTCCTTCTTGTTATTTATCAAACAACATCGAGGTTAGCGTTTGTTGTCCAAAGGAGAGTGGATCAAACGTGCTGACAGAAACAGATTTTTCTTTCAATTTAGTCATCAGCGCGGAAATGCTCATTTTGAGTCTGTAAAGTAATACAATTCGGTTACGGAATCAAGAAATGTGCTGAGACTTATGTCGTAGTTTTGCTGCACATGTGCTCGAAGACGTGCCTAGTTGCCTGGAAATGGAAGGTTCCTATAAACTTACAGAAAAAATTGAAACCTTCATCTGTTGATATTCCCTTTTCATTTTTGAGCAGTATTCGCATGATAGACAATCGCGCCTGTTTTTCACATTATATCGCAGCTAAAATGAGCGCCGGCGCGGTTCAGAAGAGCAGAGTAGGAAGGGCAGGTACTTTCTGAAGCAGTTTTCTCGAGTCTGACCAAATTTTGCAGCGGGAATTGGGCAGATAACCTTTGATTCAACTGGCTTGGCTTCAGGAAGGCGGGCCCTTGTGGCCTAATTGAGGCCGCTCGCGTCCTCGACGCACCTGCGTCTCTCCCGCACGAGTGCTCTCTGACCATTACCTAGCCTCAATTAGGTCAAGAAGCCCCGCCTTCTCAAAGCCAAGCCAGTTGAATCAAATGGTATGTGCGTGCAAATAGTAAGATTCTAAGGTTGTACCGTATATCTTTGAGAGGGATATCTGTTCAATGATAGTTAAATTCAAATCTTGCTTCGAAAAAGCCTCGAAAGGTATAGAAAATGTATTACTTTGTTAATCACGGCGCCAATTCTTGGATTGTTACTGTTTTAATCTATTTCAAAAAATAACAAAGGTTACGCCGAACAAACAGTGCAGTGGATAATTATCAAAAAACTGGGTATGCTCTAAAATTTCCAGGAACCTACACTGGACGGTTTGTTGAAATCAGCAAATAAGAACTTTATCTTAAAAGTTCTAAGGTGCTACAAATCTATTTTTCTTAGCTGATTCTATCCGTTTTTGAAGTCGAACTTTGAATTACCATAGCTTTCTACAGAAACAATCTCTGCGAGCTTAGTAAAGTCTACATTTACGGATCCTGACAGTATACAACATGCTTCACTTCTCTTGCAGACACAAGGAGAACGGTTTTTCAAACAAAAATTGCCAAGCATCTCCTCTCATTTTGAGAAATCACAATTCGTTTAGAAATATAACTACATTGCAGACGCACTGCCGGTTGTGATGCGAATAGTCGTCTGAGCGGGATGTTACCCTAAAATTTATTATGTTGTTTCACGAAAAGTTCAATGAAAGAAATTTGAAAGAACCTACTCATTTCGACGTCTATAAGATGGCGGAAAATGCTTTTTGTATTTCTCTATTTCTTTCTCCGCTGATCAGATTTTTCTAGCTCAATTGTTCTAGGCCTAACCTCACTGTTTAGAGCGAAAGTGAGTGAGGTCAAGAGTTGGCGAAGTATTAGGTTGAGTCAAAAGTAATGAGAACTTTTCGCGCATCCTTTCGAGCTTTTAACAAATTGTGAGAAGTAGTGATAGAAGAGCACCCTAAACTGTGTTAAACGTAGCTTTTCTTTCTCTTTTCACAGCCAGTCCAACAACCCTGTTGACTTCTTAGTTTTCGAAAAAATTTCCCAAATTTTGAACCTGTTACTTTTGCTTTAGGTGAGTTGAGCTGATCCTCAGAACTTTTAGTTTGAAATTTTCAAACAAATTCGATTATCTGAAAAGGGATCATGTCCTGCTTGATGCAAACCACCTCTTAGGTCTTCGAAACTAGCATTTTGAGGCTTTTCAAAATCATATTTCCAAAACCCCTAAAATTTCGAAAAGTCGCTCAAAACAAAAAACCACGAAACTTTACAAAATCTCTCGAAATTGGGAGCTTCCAAAATAGTTTATTATCAACTTGACTTTGCAAAGTATTTAAGCGCTTACCGTCTTAAATTACCATGATCTAGAACTATTTGTTACGTCTGAAAAAACCATGGAATTTGAACGGCAAACGCTCTGGGTTCAGATTCTCCAGAATATTTCATCAAATACGAAGTGATCTGGTCGGAAATTATGACTGCTGGAAAGAGGGAGAAAAGTCGTATCGGATACCATTCAAAGCATTTGACTGTTTACATTCTACCTATTTGAGATTAGGTTTAAGAGGAGATACGAAGTTCTCATTACTTTTGACTCACCCTAGTAGGGCCACAATGTTTGTGCTAAAAATTGATAGATTCAGAATTTACTAGAATTAATCTCGATGAGCCTTTCGCAGCACAAGTCCCCAGTAAAAATATTGCACGTTAGGAAATTCTCTCATTTGCTGTTCATCTCCAGGCAATAGAAGGCGAAGTAAAATTTTCGCATTCTTTTTGCTGTTCATTTAAGGCATAGAATCGTAAAATGAAAGAAAATTTACGAAAAACAAAGTTTTCGCAACCAAAAAGATTAAGCTTTTGAACGATATAAGCGATGTGCTTGGTTTTTTCTTCACATTGATAACTTCAGAAGAAGTACAAGTACGGGTGAAAGTTTTAAACAACCTTAGCAAAATATCGGTTTAGCTTCAAGCTAATTTTCTCAAATGAAAACGTTGCTGTGAAATATTTCTGAATTCTTATCTGTATCAACCATACGTGAAGCCCAGTATCCACCTGCTCTCTTCCAATTTTCCTCCCATACAACCATTACTCATAACAACAAAAAACCTCAAACTTTCATAAATGCTGCAGTCATACATACTTGTGATTTTGTTTATTCAAGTCTCACAGTCCACGCGGAATAGTATTCTCCGCTAACAATAAGTAAGGTACGAACATTTCCACGTCTCGCTCAAACATCGCTGTCATTGAAAACACGAAGAAGCGACGCGCACAGAGCATGAGTCATTGTAAGAGCGAGGAAGTACATGCCGACAAACGACGCGCTCAGCACTTTATTCATTGATTGAATTCTTAGCTACGTCTTTTCCCTGAATTCCGCCTTGCTACTCTAAGTATTCCTTAGCACTTTGCTATTTTGGTCCAATTTTACGTAATCTGTAGGTCTAATTATATTTCTTCAAAATGCGATATGATCCCGCACGATGTTTGACATGGGCATTGATGTTCACTTATCGTCCGCCGCGCGTCATCTGTATCACCACGCTCCCTACTAAACTCATGCATCCGGTTCCAAGGGTCTCTTCGAGGAATACTTGCCGGGCTACGACACGCTCATCTGCGAGAAGCTTTGCAAATCCCCGAGCCTGTACTAACTGCAATCGTCAACCGACTCCCGCAGGCTCGACACATTGTATTGGCGATGCCCATCAGTTGGAGCCCCACGTCCGCTTTTCGCGCACGTCCAACCTGGCGATGGGGCCCGCATGGAGTTCTTAATGACCGCTCGAGCTGTCTCGGTTGCTCCCTAGTCACTATGTTCGCGCCCACCCATGCCTCAACGACCTCGCCATTGCCTTTGTGTACCAGGATACCCTCTGCCCTCCAAAGTGGAGCTGCAGGAAACAACAATCATTACTCCTCAACTAAATGTAGGTCTTTGATGGGGATACCGCGTTCCTCTTCCTAAGTCGCAAGAAAGTCCGCACGAGCACCTAGCCGTTTATTTCAACGAAGCTGAGGCTAACGTGTGTAGAACTAAGACTGTCGTCACTCATTTACTCCACCGTCGCGTTCTCCTCCCCCCTCCCTCTCCCTCTGTACCATCAATACTTTATCATTCTATAAAGAACGGATTCATAGATAGGCTGAGTTCGCTCGGGAAAACCACGTCGAGCTGCAGCCGTTGACTCCATCCAGGGCAGGGGGAAAGACATCGTGTTCCTCCTCATCACACGAACCGACTTTGACCCCGCTTCTGATGACTTCTTGGACGATCAAAAGCGCATGAACGTTGCGCTCATCCGTTCAAGGTTTGTTCATCCTGGGCCACACTGACTCGCTGCATCAACTTCTGCGACAGTGTGCTTGCCTGGTCGAGGAGCGTCGTGCTGTCGTCCCTGCTGCTCAGCCCGATATGTATTTGCCTTTATAACAAGGGCGTAACATTCACATCTATTACCCTTTTGTCTATTTCGTTTATATATTTTCATTTCTATACTTCAAGCATCTCCGGAATGCCAGAAGACATGACATGTTCAGGGCGTGACAGAGATACGAGGCTTCAATAGTCGCGCCTCCGTTAAGCTGCTGACTGATCGCCAGCGTACTCCTTCCAACGCTGGCTGATGCCGATTTGATCATCACCTACCTGTTGTATCCTACTCTACTATGATCTTCCTCGTTTACGGTTATATTCCTATGCTGCTTTCTGTATAACGTTGCTTCCATAACTAATGAGTACAAGGTGTGTTCTTGCCAGCCGGCTAGTACGCTAGCACTACGCGAACGCTTATTTACTAACTTATATCGGCCGGGAAGAAACAAACCAGGACCCTGTACCAGCCTCCAACCATTTTTGGAAAGGGTGATGCGACAAGACTTTTCCAAAATAAGACAGAAATTAGGAATCTGCGGCAATGCATCATATCCATAGCAAATGATTTTTTTATAGTGGAGAACATCGGGCAATTGTAAGCTGGAGCATAACTTGATGGAAATCAACAAATGAAAAAGTGCCCGAGAAGGGAAACCTCTGCATTCTGTGAGAGGATCAAATTAAGCATCATCACTGTAGGGCATGGGAAGAGTGAAAGTAATGGCACGTCACACGACCATCAGCCCGGCAAATTTTGATATCTGAGACAAAAAACGAAAAGAAGATTAGAGGCATAAGATTTATATTTGAATGTGAAAATACATCACGCAATGCATCTTTTCT